TCCACAATGATGAGGACATTGACTCTGAGCAATTTCTCTTATTTTGGGAGGTGTACATCAAACATTTTTTTCAGGTGAATATATTTTGTGTTTTGACAGTTTCTAATTGTCAATTCAAAGTTTCTATTTTCAAGTGTTCCGGTGTTACCAACTGCTACATACCTGTTTCCCTACATTGCCAAAATTTACTTTATTTTTGTTAAAAAAAAGTATAAAAACGCGAATTACAAAAAATAGCATAAAAAACACGTTTCATAAGACTTAAAGCACTCATTCATTAAAAAACTCGTTTTTCAACTTGAATTCGTGCATTTCAAGCGTGTCTTACGAAACTTGTTTTTTAATATACTATTATAGCTTCATATAAAACATTTAATACATCCTCCGAAGCATCGGAAAGTGGGCATTTGAAAGGATTTCTACTGTATCTAGTACAACTGTTGAGACAGTCAAACCATTTGTCCATAAACATAATGAAATCTGCAGTGTCAGTAGCTGTTGAACTTTTTAGCTCGCCTGTTGCTATTGACGTTTTTAATGCCGACGCAACGCTTTTGCTAAATATTTGGGCGGCCAGTTTTACCGATAATTTCTGAAACGGCGAAGGATATAAATGAGCGTTTGAGATTTTGAGTAAACATCTCGCCCCTGACTTTGACTTTTGATCAATATGATATAATCTTCTGATACCTTGAAAAGAAATTGTTTCGTATGCTTTTCAAAAGATGAGGGGCATCAAACACTTTTTGCGTATTTTTAAACATGAAATAAGGTTTTTAAGAACAATTTTTGGCCTAAAAAAAGGTTAATACGCATTTGGTGCTTTATAATATAAACTAAGTGAAAATTGTTTTTCATTGTATGTCCAGTGGCCTTTTGTTTTATGTAGTAATTGCATTGCCGCAAATGTTCTATGTTGAGGGGAATGATATTTTATAACACTTAGGCCCACTTTTACCATCCTCCTGATAAACTATCTAGAGGATAGTTGCCATGGTTACCACGGTTTTAAGCGCTCTCATTGGCTAAGAACTGGATTTATCTATCGGATAAATTTATCAGGAGGTGGTAAAAGTGGGCCTTAGACAGGATTGTAAATTGTTTGATAGTGTGGTGGTAGTTAATCTTTTTTTTAGTTTTTATATTGTTGACTTCGCATTTTTACATTTCAGTCTGAGTTTATCGTATTTTTCCTTTAATTTATTTAAAGCACAGGGTATCTGACTATGATGGGAGTTCGGTGACGGAAATTCTAGATACTCACTTGGAAACTTCTTTTGACAAGGCGAACTATCTAATACTGGTGACGATTTAGAACTTTTATCAGGGGATAGAAAACGTACCTCGCCATGTTTAGAAAACGCATAATTGCTAACAATATACATAAACAATCTTTATATTTAAAAATATTTTAATTTTATTTGTATATGTACTTATATCGTCAATCCTGCTTAATTTCAACAAAATGCGAATCTGTATTTTCGGTTCTTTGAAATTTTCTTATGTTTGCTCAAAATATCGCCCCTTCAATTAGCCGTCCCTGTGCAATAAACAACCAGTACACCCACACGCGCCTGCCCCGGATGTATTCGTTAAAAGTGTTAAAACCTAAAAACACGAAATATCGACTGATTGATAAAGCCGCCGACCGAGATTAATACCAATGTATACATAACTGAACTTACTCGATAAGAATGGTCTTAATTACCTACAATTTTCGATTTATTATTGATTTAATTTTATATTCAGTCGATTAATTTTGCTTTTTTTAAAGTTCATTGTAGGCTTCTGTAAAATATTTTGATGTGGAATTGTCAATGGTTTATTATCTGATTTAACTCCTAGATGGAACACTGTTCGTTAAGATATAAAAATAAAAACAGATTTAATCGCTAGATGGCGACATCAAAAAATAAATCTTTTATGGGTTGCCAATTCTTTCTATCTCGTGAGCTAACTATATTCTCTATAAACAAAGGTACTACTCAATTGCACCCACTTCCGGATGTTGTTGGTCGGTCGTAACACACTATCTAGAAGGAGGGTGTCTGCTTTAGTTGACGAATTTTTTATTTCAACTCTCTAGGACTCACCGTTTCCGAATAAATTGGCTGGTACGGGTGGTCTGGGACATCCTGTATTGGTTTCTTTAAATACTACTGTAACGCGACCATTGCGCCATCTACATCGATTCAGTTTATGTGAGAGAGAAAGTATCATACGAAGTTTTCATTAGTTGAACAAGGATAGATAGGAGTGCCAATTTATTAGCCGGAGTCCGGCCTCTGTATACTCTGTGTGTGAACACGACTCTGAGCTGCTCTGAGCTCAGCTGATCGAAACCATTGAAACTAAAAATCGATATCACCTCGTCGACCAATAAGAACGTTGAAAATTAAAAACAAGTAGAGATGGGAGGAGGCTGTGACGAGGACAGTAAGTATTGGTATCAAGCGCTTGGGAAAGTAGTTTTTAGCGGACCGACTTTTTTGATCTCTCGGTACTACTTCGTGCTATACATAACTAAATATTTAGATTTTAGGTTATGTTTATGTCAAACATTTATTTGGTGTTTTATAAACATCAAAGTCATCAGCTGCTATTAATTTTTAATTCACCGTCCAATAAGATAAAAGCGTACTCACCACGTGTTCACGCATGTCTCTTGTGTAAACGAGGGCACGACAGAGACAGATATATATATATATCTGCACTCTAGTGTTTACACTCTTTTGCTGCCTTAGTCAGCGATATAGGAGATAGTATATATATGGTTTTATCCTACTCTCTCTCTCTCTCTCAAATAATAAACGGGTTCTCTCTAATATCGATTTTCAGTCGATAACCGCAGTTGTCTATTTTATTTAAAAGTTATCTCTCGTAAATAAGCATTGTTATTAAAGTAAATTTAGGAAAACAATTTTTTTTTGTTACTCATAAAACGAGTTAATTTGATTTTGTGTTTAATTAAATGAATTTTTGTCGAACCTGATTAATTTTCTTTTTGAACCTGAACTTGCCCGAAACCCTGAGTTTAATAAGTCTCTTAAAATTAAAGAAACCCAAATTTATAGTTTAATAACTTGTGTAAAAACACCACAATATGTTATAGATATTAAGCTGCTTCTTTTAATGACGTTTCATTTTGGCAAATCTAAAACTAAAATAAAAATTAGTCCAATTTCATCTCAATCAACAACAAATGGAAAGTTAGGAATAATAGAATAAATGATGGGATGGGAGGAGTTAAATATAAGTATTAAATCTCCTTTTTATTAAACCATGACATCTATTCAACGTTCATTTTAATACAAATATATATGTAGTATAACACGGTTACGTTGGTATAATTAAAAAGAAAAAACAAACCGGAAGTGATAATTAACAGGACTGTTACACCCTCAATTTACAACAATAATATTGCATTATTAATCTAATAAATTATTTCTAACAATAACAGAGTATTTTTTAACAATAATAATTCGTTTCAGTTATACTCTAAAGATATGCTACGATTTTTCGTTTTAATTTAATTCTTTACAGTCCCGTTCATTTCACGCTTTGCTTTCTTGAGCAACGAAATTTATTAAAATACATAAACGTTAGACGATTGTGACATGAAATTAATTCTTGGTTAAGTTACAATTACATTATATTGTCTTATTACTTTTTTTTTGATCAACAATTTGCGCCTACAGCGTTTCTAAAAGTATACAGGGCGTGTTACATACACATGTATAGCGGAAATGCGATTATTTATGAAAAATTTTTTTTTTAATCGTTTCACATTTATTTATTAATTAATTAATATATTGCAGTATACATACTTTATTTATGAGTATGTTGTTAAGATTATGTATTTATTTATTATTTACAAATGGTTTTTATAACAACATTTATCATTTTTTTTTAAAGATTTTTTTTAAATTAATTTTCCTAATAACTAAATAACAATGAATATAATTTTTTTTTATTAAATTAATAAAATCAGGTTTTAAGAGGTATTTATCACACAGTTTATTTTTTAAGAAGCAGAGTTTCGACTGAACACCAACTTTTTCTTTTTTCTTCCTATTCTAACTTTTTTTAAATTTTATTAATTAATTTTTTTTTAAATCAGTCACATTGATAATTGAATTTTGTTCATTTTTAATGTTTTTTCAATCTTTCAATACACGCGCGTACAAGAAATTAAAAATAACAAGGCTCTCAGGTCTGGAGATCTGCCTATAGAGCTAATCAAACATGGTACTATGAAAGTACTGAAAATAATATGTATCCTCAATTTTGACATATTTGTAATTTTCATTAAAAATCCTTTAAAATGAGTACAAACACGACATATTTATCTTCAATATTAATGAAGTTATGGTCAACTTCCGGTTAAGAATGTCAACGTCAATTTTGCCATATTTGTAATCGTCGTGAAAAATCCTTTAAAATGAGTCCAAACATGATACGTTTAATTGCAATATTACTCGAGATATAAGCAACTTCCGGTTTGAAATGTCAACGTCATTTTGACATATTCTTAATTTTAATAAAATGTTTTAATATTTGTCGCAAAAACAAAAATATAAGAAGCGTTTTTTAATGAAGATGATAAATATGTCAAAATTGACGTTGACGTTTAATTAATAAATAAATTCGAGAAAAGCGACCTAAAAGCCCTCTAGCGTGAAAGTATAGAAAATTTCATGAATTTTGATACCAAACACGCCCTATTTAGGAAAATATAGGAATTAAGGCAAAAACAAAATGGCCGCTTCTTTGTTGATTTTTAACCTAACATTTTTGATTTTTACCGGAAATATATCGTGTTTGGTATCAAATTAAAGCAAATTTAATTTCCTATGCGAATTTGATCAAAAAATATTGATTTTACTTAATTTAGAACATTTTTTGTAAAATTAATTAAGAAATAAAATCGAGATAAGCGACCTAAAAGCCCTCTAGCGTGAAAGTATAGAAAATTCCACGAATTTTGATACCAAACACGCCCTATTTAGGAAAATATAGGAATTAAGGCAAAAACAAAATGGCGACCTCTTTGTTGATTTTTAACCTAACATTTTTGATTTTTACAGAAAATATATCGTGTTTGGTATCAAATTAAAGCAAATTTAATTTCCTATGCGAATTTGATCAAAAAATATTGATTTTACTTAATTTAGAACATTTTTTTGTTAAGTTGATTAATAAATAAACTCAGGAAAAGTAATCTAAAAGCCCTCTAGCGTGAAAGTATATAAAATTTCATGAATTTTGATACCAAACACGCCCTGTTTAGGAAAATTAAGGCAAAAACAAAATGGCGGCGTCTCTGTTGATTTTTAACCTAACATTTTTGATTTTTACCGGAAATATATCGTGTTTGGTATCAAATTAAAGTAAATTTAATTTCCTATGCGAATTTGATCAAAAAATATTGATTTTATTTAATTTAGAAAATTTTTTGTGAAATTGATTAATAAATAAATTTGAGAAAAGTGATCTAAAAGCCCTCTAGCGTGAAAGTATATAAAATTTCATGAATTTTGATACCAAACACGCCCTATTTAGGAAAATATAGGAATTAAGGCAAAAACAAAATGGCCGCTTCTTTGTTGATTTTTAACCTAACATTTTTGATTTTTACCGGAAATATATCGTGTTTGGTATCAAATTAAAGCAAATTTAATTTCCTGTGCGAATTTGATTTTGACAATCATTGTCAAATGAATGGAAAATCATGAAACTTTAAGGCAATTTTTCTTGAAAATTTTGTTATGTAACTAATATTAATTTTGACTGTACCAAATTCAGAAAAAAATCTTCTTTCATATTTCGTAATAAAAATGGAGGATTTCTATTTGAAAAAAAATAGCGATGATGTCATAACTAGTTTAAAAAAAAATTTTAAAACTATACCAAAAAATTGCAAATAATTTAAATCCGTTACTTTTGGGAAGCACTGTATAACAAATTTTAGAACAATTACGGACTCACGTGACTGTATAAGCGCGTATACTGAAAGATTAATTCATTTAAACCTCTAGGAGTAAATAACTAAGATTGATTTTGTACTCTTTTTTTTACTATGCACTTCCACCTCTAGACTTAGTGGAACATTTAATTTTAAAGGAGAAAGGAAAGAACCAGATTCTTGAAGAGTTATTGTCTATGTAATTACCTTTTATAATCCGATTTATTGTAATTTATTTTAATGAATTAAAGAAATTATTTTTTCGGATTATAAACGGTTAATACATTTTCTTTTCTTTCTAATAACACATAATTTCTGCGCATTTTTTAGAATTATTAACGCTGTTTATTTTTTGGAAGAAACTTTTGTTAGAAAAAATATTCCTTTTAGATATAAAAATAATTTGAAATTTCAAAGTTAACTTTTTAAGCTTTTTAAGTATTTACATTATTACACAACGGAGCGATTTAATTACAATTAAATCGATTCAATAAAAAAAAGTCTAGAGGAAAAATACTTACGCAAACGAAGCGACACAAGGCAGCAAGTGAGAATGCAACATTTTTGTTTAAATCATTCCCACGAATAACATCTAAAACGTTTTATATACAATTTCTTCACACATAAATCGGTTTTCGCGTGTCTTTTTTGCTTCCATTTCGGTCCAACATAAACCATTCTTCACCGCTGCTATTACAAAGTCACAGTTCTTCTGGAGGTTTTGATAGAAGACATCCTTGCTTCGATAAAGGACTATGAATAACGGGGGCGTTTAAGTTGCTAAAATAACCTCCAATTTTCGGTTTAACATGCCGATTATTAGTTTCCATGTGAACAATTTTCATAAATTCGATTTGTGCGGCCAATTTTTGAATTTCTTCCTTTAACTCTTCGTTTTCTTGGTATAAATCGGGGGCTTCCTCAGAAACTAAACCGATTCCGTTTAACGAAAATGAAGCTGTAACACCGCGAGATCTCGCCCTGTTATCCCATTGGTCTCCTTGACCGCGGAGAACTCGAACTACTTTTGGCCCAAAAACTAAACCAATTGTTACTGAGGTTGAAAGTTGAGTTCGAATGAATCCTAAGAGGTATTTTATATCCGGTCCAGCTTTCGGAAATATTAATAAACTAAAAAATTAAATTAATTAATAAATTTTTATTAATTTTAATCATTTTTTTGTACTCACTGAAAAGCAACCATAGCAATATTAACAACGGCGATGTTGTAAATAGCATAGCTAATTAATCGCGCTTCGTTATAAAGCGATTCGGCGTTTCGCACATTGTAACAAACCCGAATTCCCCAAGCTAAAAAAAGAACTTCCCCAATAGCCAAACTGTGATCCCACCAATTATAAGTACACTGATTAAATTTTAATCCAACGGAATCCGTGATGACTTCGGCCGCTGGAGTGGCCGATAACGTCCATGTACTTAAATAAATGAGCATCACAAGTAATATGGGGACCATCCATTGCAATAACTGTTTGTCGGTTAATTTTACTTTATGCGCAGATTTAACTCTGTACGTTAATGAAACTCTCCACGTCTTCATTAATAAAGCAGTGTAAGTTATACAAAATCCTAAATGTCTCGACCATTTAGTTGCTATACATGAATACATGTCTAAAACCGGAAATATAGCCGCCATCTACAAAAAACTTGGTTTAAAAGAATTAACAAAAATGTTTCTTATTGAATTCACCTCAAGGTACATTGTAGCACAACCCAACAAAGTTATTGCTAAAAAAATTGGGCTGGCAACTTTAAAAACTTTTAATTTTCGATGACGAAACATGTAAATGATTAAGATTACCGTACAAATTGCACAGGTTACGCTAAATACTAATAAAGTAACCCTAAAACAATTTTTTTTTGATTATTAAAAATATGGTGAAGAAAGTTTTTACCTGAAAGCCCAATGATAAGTTGCCAAACATGGTTGAGGACCGATGCAAGTTTCACAACCCGGAGCGCATTGTAAACAGTGAAAAATGTCTCCCCAAAATGGACTACTGTTCTCTTTCATTGCATTAAATGCCACTAAAATCAAATAGAATCATTTTTGATTAAATATAAAACTTCTGATCTCGGCGATTTGAGACGAAATCGTTTTTTATATATCTTGGTAAAGATGCAAAGTCCTTTATAAGAAAATATTTATCCTCACTCTGCCGAGGTCGCTTGCGGGCGAGGCAGTAGAATTCTCAAAAAGTCATAATTTTGTCTTAACATATCAAAACCGGTGCCTCGCCCGTAGACGACTTCGGCGATTTGAAACAAAATCGTTCCTTATATATCTTGGTAAATATGCAAAGTCCCTTATAAGAAAATATTTATCCTCACTCTGCCGAGGTCGCTTGCGAGCGAGGCAGCAGAATTCCCAAAAAGTGATAATTTTGTATTAATATATCAAAACTGGCACCGCGCCCATAGACGACCTCGGCAATTTGAAGCAAAATCGTTTCTTATATATCTTGGTAAAGATGCAAAGTCCCTTATAAGAAAATATTTATCCTCACTCTGCCGAGGTCGCTTGCGGGCGAGGCAGCAGAATTCCCAAAAAGTGATAATTTTGTATTAATATATCAAAACTGGCACCGCGCCCATAGACGACCTCGGCAATTTGAAGCAAAATCGTTTCTTATATGACTTGGTAAAGCAACAGAGTCTCTTATAAGAAGACTCCGCCAAGGTCATTTACGAACGAGGCTATAGAATTCTCAAAAACTTAAGATTTTGTATTAATTTATCAAATCCAGCGCCTCGCTCGCAAGCGACCTCGGCGATTTGAAGACAAATCGTTTGTTATATGACTTGGTAAAGCAACAGAGTCTCTTATAAGAAGACTCCGCCAAGGTCATTTACGAACGAGGCTATAGAATTCTCAAAAACTCAAGATTTTGTATTAATTTATCAAATCTAGCGCCTCGCCCGCAAGCGACCTCGGCGATTTGAAGACAAATCGTTTCTTATATGACTTTGTAAAGCAACAAAGTCTCTTATAACAAGACTGCGCCAAGGTCACTTGCGAACGAGGCTATAGAATTCTCGAAAACTCAAGATTTTGCATTAATTTATTAAATGTAGCGCCTCGCCCGCAAGCGACCTCGGCGATTTGAAGACAAATCGTTTCTTATATAACTTAGTAAAGCAACAAAGTCTCTTATAATAAGACTGCGTCAAGGTTATTTGCGAACGAGGCTATAGAATACTCAAAAACTCAAGATTATGTATTAATTTATCAAATCTAGCGCCTCGCCCGCAAGCGACCTCGGCGATTTGAAGACAAATCGTTTCTTATATGACTTGGTAAAGCAACAGAGTCTCTTATAAGAAGACTCCGCCAAGGTCATTTACGAACGAGGCTATAGAATTCTCAAAAACTTAAGATTTTGTATTAATTTATCAAATCCAGCGCCTCGCTCGCAAGCGACCTCGGCGATTTGAAGACAAATCGTTTCTTATATGACTTGGTAAAGCAACAAAGTCTCTTATAATAAGACTGCGTCAAGGTCATTTACGAACGAGGCTATAAAATTCTCAAAAACTCAAGATTTTGTATTAATTTATCAAATCCAGCGCCTCGCTCGCAAGCGACCTCGGCGATTTGAAGACAAATCGTTTGTTATATGACTTGGTAAAGCAACAGAGTCTCTTATAAGAAGACTCCGCCAAGGTCATTTACGAACGAGGCTATAGAATTCTCAAAAACTCAAGATTTNCCGAACCGCCGTGCCGATCAAAACACGTTTCTCACGTGTACTTACCAATAGATTCGACACGGGAAGAGAAATAAACTTTTTCGGTGAATCAAAGTCGTCCGCTATTGGACAATAGCGGATGACTTTAAACAGTTCCCGTGCGGTTATTATAAACATTTTGAAAAAAATTTATTAGAAAGATCGCTTCAGAATAATGTATCCTACAACCGTATAACGCTCTGATGCAGAAGATACCGGGCACCTGTATATAGATATAACAATAAATTATAATAACAACAGATTACTATTTTAAATCAATATTACATGAACTGCCCATGCCCTGTTGTTAACCGTATCAGATTCTCGATTTTTGGGTGGCAGTTTATCTCCCCAAAGGATTTGAATGACCTTTTATCGAGCAAGGTATTAATGTTCGTTANTTGGTAAAGCAACAGAGTCTCTTATAAGAAGACTCCGCCAAGGTCATTTACGAACGAGGCTATAGAATTCTCAAAAACTCAAGATTTTGTATTAATTTATCAAATCCAGCGCCTCGCCCGCAAGCGACCTCGGCGATTTGAAGACAAATCGTTTCTTATACGACTTTGTAAAGCAACAAAGTCTCTTATAATAAGACTGCGTCAAGGTCACTTGCTAACGAGGCTATAGAATTCTCGAAAACTCAAGATTTTGTATTAATTTATCAAATCTAGCGCCTCGCCCGCAAGTGACCTCGGCGATTTGAAGACAAATCGTTTCTTATATGACTTACAAGGGGACCTTACGGGTTCGTCATCACCGATTTTGTTCATATTTATAGGGATTGAAGATCAGTACTCGGACATCATTTTCCTGAAGCAGTTCGATCCCATGCTGGAAAATATCCGAGAAAATCGATTTCAAAATTTTCAAAATATTTCGCAACTATAGAAATGCGATAAATTGTATCTTCGTTCATAATGCCGATTAGCCGAGTGGCGTGAGTGGGGCTTTGGATGCCCAAGGTCGCAGGTTCAATCCTTACTGTTCGCTTTATTTTTTTTTATTTTTTCATTATTGATGATAATCATTATTTTTAATGATTATTAACAAATATTAAATAAATTCAAAAATAATATTAAAAATAATAGCACAATGTCATCTGTTCATTGTCAAACCAAATAATCCAGATTACGCATACGGATGGCATAGTGATGACAAAATAATTTATTTATTGTTAGGAGTATTATATAATATGAAATATATTAACAATACGAATAATATACGAACCGCCGTGCCGATCAAAACACGTTTCTCACGTGTACTTACCAATAGATTCGACACGGGAAGAGAAATAAACTTTTTCGGTGAATCAAAGTCGTCCGCTATTGGACAATAGCGGATGACTTTAAACAGTTCCCGTGCGGTTATTATAAACATTTCGAAAAAAATTTATTAGAAAGATCGCTTCAGAAAATGTATCCTACAACCGTATAATGCTCTGATGCGGAAGATACCGGGCACCCTGTATATAGATATAACAATAAATTATAATAACAACAGATTACTATTTTTAATCAATATTACATGAACTGCCCATGCCCTGCTGTTAACCGTATCAGATTCTCGATTTTTGGGTGGCAGTTTATCTCCCCAAAGGATTTGAATGACCTTTTATCGAGCAAGGTATTAATGTTCGTTAAGAGCGACTGCACGGTAAAATTTGATAACAATATCTATCGGGGTGCAATAGATCCTTAGGTATCTATACCTTGCTCCGCGAGGTTGGTTAGTCCGCTTATCCCATATGTAATCTATGTAATGTAATGTAATATATATTGTTATTATCGTATTGTTCGTATATTATTCGTATTGTTAATATATTTCATATTATATAATACTCTTAACAATAAATAAATTATTTTGTCATCACTCATCACTACGCCATCCGTATGCGTGATCTGGATTATTTATTTGGTTTGACAATGAACAGATGACATTATGCTATTGTTTTTAATATTATTTTTGAATTTATTTAATATTTGTTAATAATCATTAAAAATAATGATTATCATCAATAATGAAAAAATAAAAAAAAATAAAGCGAACAGTAAGGATTGAACCTGCGACCTTGGGCATCCAAAGCCCCACTCACGCCGCTCGGCTAATCGGCATTATGAACGAAGATACAATTTACCGCATTTCTATTGTTGCGAAATATTTTGAAAATTTTGAAATCGATTTTCTCGGATATTTTCCAGCATGGGATCGAACTGCTTCAGGAAAATGATGTCCGAGTACTGATCTTCAATCCCTATAAATATGAACAAAATCGGTGATGACGAACCCGTAAGGTCCCCTCGTTAGTAAAAATACAAAGTCCCTTATAAGAAAATATTTATCCTCACTCTGCCGAGGTCGCTTGCGGGCGAGGCAGCAGAATTCTCAAAAACTAATGATTTTGCAGTGCCGGCGCTAGCAAATGAAGCGCCAGGGTGCAGAAACCGGAGTGCCCCCCCCTAAGCGGAATTTTTGGGACGCCCAAAAATTCATTTTAATTTAAAAAATTAAAAAATGAATTTTAATTAAAAAAATATATATAAATAAACTAATAAAAATATACAGTGTGTCCCCGGATAGATGAAACGACTCTTATAAAATGTAAACTTTTTTCGATATTAGCTGTCATCTTTTGGGGTTCAGGCCTGCTTGATTAAAGACTAATTTTGAACATATTTTAAAAAACAAGTGAGTGTTGATACTGAAGCTAAAACTTCTTGTGTGTCAGGTAAAGTACCTTTTCTGTTTACAGTATGGTAAAATGTTACTAAGAAATTTTATTCAGAATGAAAAGTTATGGCCATATGCAAATTTTCATCAGCCTACTTTGATAAAACCTATTGTTTATTATTTTCGTCAATAGTACCTTATTACGACTTTTTGTTTTGAGATTCAGATTATTAGGGAGAAATAAACAAACCGTTCTGAAAATGTTCACAAGAAATTAAGTGTGTGTTCGCCCACAAAGGAAAACAGTTGATCATAGTTAATCAGTTTCATCATAATTTTTTTTTCTTAGAGTGAATACTTCCTGCTGTAAGAAATCTTTTGATTAAACGCCAACAAGTACTTCTTTTAATTGCAGTATTTGGAAATTTTTCACAAAATAAAGCAATAATCGGTTTTTTCCCGGTTCCATAACACTGAATCACGTAAACTTTTTCCTCTAATGTTAACATTCTGTTTAAAAAACACTTTAAGTTTACTAAATTACAGTTTGAGAGATTAACAGTGACAGGAAAGCAATTTTGTTTTTCCATGGCAGTCTTTGTTAGAAATAAAATTGTTTGATATGGATTTTTCAAAGTAGGCCGATCAATCCGAAAATTTGCATATGCCCATAGTTTTTCATTCTGAACAAAACTTCTTAGTAACAATTTCACGTACTGTAAACAGAAAAGGTACTTTACCTGCCACAAAAAGAGTTTTTCTTTCACTGTCAAGGCTCACTTGTTTTTTAAAAATTGATAATATGTTCAAAATTAGTCGTTAATCAATCAGGGCTAAACCCCAAAAGATGACAATTAATATCGAAAAAAATTTACCTTTTATAAGAGTCGTTTCACCTATCCGGGGACACACTGTATAATCAAAGAAATATAAATAAACTTAAAAAAGATTGGAATAATCATAATCCATACTTCAGCAAAAATTTAAGAATTATACTGGTGAACAACCAAACTTAAGGGAATAGTCGGGAATACTCTGGTCAGAAGGTTAATTTGCAAGAAAAAGTCAGAAGTTGATTTTACTTAATTTAGAACATTTTTTGTAAAATTGATTAATAAATAAATTCAAGAAAAGTGATCTAAACGCCCTCTAACATGAAAATATAGACAATTTCATAAATTTTGACACCAAACACGCCCTATTTAGGAAAATTAAGGCAAAAACAAAATGGCGGCCTCTTTGTTGATTTTTAACCTAACATTTTTGATTTTTACCGGAAATATATCGTGTTTGGTATCAAATTAAAGCAAATTTAATTTCCTATGCGAATTTGATCAAAAAATATTGATTTTACTTAATTTAGAACATTTTTTTGTGAAATTGATTAATAAATAAATTCAAGAAAAGTGATCTAAACGCCCTCTAACATGAAAATATAGAAAATTTCATAAATTTTGACACCAAACACGCCCTATTTAGGAAAATTAAGGCAAAAACAAAATGGCGGCCTCTTTGTTGATTTTTAACCTAACATTTTTGATTTTTACCGGAAATATATCGTGTTTGGTATCAAATTAAAGCAAATTTAATTTCCTATGCGAATTTGATCAAAAAATATTGATTTTACTTAATTTAGAACATTTTTTTGTGAAATTGATTAATAAATAAATTCAAGAAAAGTGATCTAAACGCCCTCTAACATGAAAATATAGAAAATTTCATGAATTTTGATACCAAACACGCCCTATTTAGGAAAATTAAGGCAAAAACAAAATGGCGGCCTCTTTGTTGATTTTTAACTTAACATTTTTGATTTTGACCGGAAATATATCGTGTTTGGTATCAAATTAAAGCAAATTCAATTTCCTATGCGAATTTGATCAAAAAATTTTAAAACATTTTAATTTAAAAAAATTAAAAAATGAATTTTAATTAAAAAAATATATATAAATAAACTAATAAAAATATATAATCAAAGAAATATAAATAAACTTAAAAAAGATTGGAATAATCATAATCCATACTTCAGCAAAAATTTAAGAATTATACTGGTGAAAAACCAAACTTAAGGGAATTAGCGGGAATACTCTGGTCAGAAGGTTAATTTGCAAGAAAAAGTCAGAAATTGTAATAGTTATAAACTAGACTTTAGCAAAGAACAGGAATTACATTGTTCAAAGTCCACATGAAGTCTGAAATTAGTGTTCAGAGAAAACAAAAAATTGATTATAAACCAAACATGAGTTCTCATGGCAATACTTATGTGTTCAATAAAAGAATGCGAAAAATATGAACAAGAAACCACTGTCTTGTATTGCACAGGGCAAGAAATCACCAATACGGAAACTTTTCCAATGCAGAAATGAGGTAGCGGATGGTACAAGATCCGTATAGATAATAAGAGGTTCCCAAAAAGATGATGATAGACACGCAGAAACAAGTAGCTGTCAGTATCAAGAACAAAACATACATAACGTTGGCAGAAGACTAGATACTGCTTCTAAAAAACTAAATACTGCTTTCTGAAGACTAGATACTTCTCTGGAAGATTAAATACTGCTTTCTGAAGACTAGATACTGCTCTAGAAGATTAAATACTGTTTTCTGAAGACTAGATACTGCCGACAGGTCTAAATACAGCATCTGGAACATTAAATACTGCTTTCTAAAGACTACAATTGCTTTGTGGAGACTAAATACTGCTTTCTGAAGACTAGACTGCTGACAGGTCTAAGTACTGCAAAAGAAAGATAAGATATTGTTGGAAAAAACATACATAACGTTGGTAGAAGACTAGATACTGCTTCTAGAAGACTAAAACTGCTTTCTGAAGACTAGATACTTCCGACAAGTCTAAATACAGCATCTGGAACACTAAATACTGCTTTCTAAAGACTAAAATTGCTTTGTGGAGACTAAATACTGCTTTCTGAAGACTAGATACTGCTAATAGGTCTAAATATTGCAAAAGAAAGATAAAATATTTTGGAGAAAACATACATAACTTTGGCAGAAGACTAGATACTGCTTCTAGAAGACTAAATACTGCTTTCTGAAGACTAGATACTTCCGACAGGTCTAAATACAGCGTCTGGAACACTAAATACTGCCTTCTAAAGACTAAAATTGCTTTGTGGAGACTAAATACTGCTTTCTGAAGACTAGATACTGCTAACAGGTCTAAATACTGCAAAAGAAAGATAAAATATTTTGGAGAAAACATACATAACTTTGGCAGAAGACTAGATACTGCTTCTAGAAGACTAAATACTGCTTTCTGAAGACTAGATACTTCCGACAGGTCTAAATACAGCGTCTGGAACACTAAATACTGCCTTCTAAAGACTAAAATTGCTTTGTGGAGACTAAATACTGCTTTCTGAAGACTAGATACTGCTAACAGGTCTAAATACTGCAAAAGAAAGATAAAATATTTTGGAGAAAACATACATAACTTTGGCAGAAGACTAGATACTGCTTCTAGAAGACTAAATACTGCTTTCTGAAGACTAGATACTTCCGACAGGTCTAAATACAGCGTCTGGAACACTAAATACTGCCTTCTAAAGACTAAAATTGCTTTGTGGAGACTAAATACTGCTTTCTGAAGACTAGATACTGCTAACAGGTCTAAATACTGCAAAAGAAAGATAAAATATTTTGGAGAAAACATACATAACTTTGGCAGAAGACTAGATACTGCTTCTAGAAGACTAAATACTGCTTTCTGAAGACTAGATACTTCCGACAGGTCTAAATACAGCGTCTGGAACACTAAATACTGCCTTCTAAAGACTAAAATTGCTTTGTGGAGACTAAATACTGCTTTCTGAAGACTAGATACTGCTAACAGGTCTAAATACTGCAAAAGAAAGATAAAATATTTTGAAGAAAACATACATAACTTTGGCAGAAGACTAGATACTGCTTTCTGAAGACTAGATACTTCCGACAAGTCTAAATACAGCGTCTGGAACACTAAATACTGCCTTCTAAAGACTAAAATTGCTTTGTGGAGACTAAATACTGCTTTCTGAAGACTAGACTGCTGACAGGTACTGCAGAAAAAAGATAAGATATTGTTGGAGAAAACATTAAAAAGGCGCCGGCGCCCCCTTTTAGGCGGCGCCCGGGTGCAGTGCACCCCTTGCACCCCCCGGTAGCGCCGCCTCTGTGATTTCGTATTAATATATCAAAACTGGCGCCTCGCCCATAGACGACCTCGGCAATTTGAAGCAAAATCGTTTGTTATATATCTTGATAATGATACAAAGTCTCTTATGAGAAGACATTTATGTTTTAAATGTTTAAATTTAGACATTTTACCTTCAACAAGAGTTCCATTAAAAATTCCATTATGATGTGGTGAATAATAACCATCCCTGCATACACATTGATAACTCCCTCGTGTCCAACTCATATACGTTTTAGTCGGTTTATAATAACACTAAAAAAGGAGAAAATTATTCATTTTAGCAATCCAATTTTTTTTTAAATCATTTAAGATTAATTTAGATAATTCCAAGTTGTTTTAGATAAGTTTTTGATCCAACACTTTGATAATAATTATAGATTTATTATAAATATAATCTCTAATTATAAATCAGAGAGTTGTTAATGAATAAAGAAGTTTTTGAAGTTATAAAACAACTTTAAATTTCCTCGTAAGAAAACATATCGACTTTTGTAAGGATGGTAAAAGGTTGAGTCACGCGCTACAAGTAGTAAAAAAGAAATTGGGGATCTTTTATGATTTCTTGGAAATTTTACGATAACGATTTCGTCGTCGATTTCCAAAACGACAAGTGTCAAGGATTTACTTTTATTTTTATTCCTATTTGTGCCAATTTTTTCCGCCCAATTTTAATACTTACTTTTGAGGTTTTATTATGACATTTATGAGATCCGTGAAAAGCTTCAATTTCCGTCGGGGTTGAAATCAATTTCATTTCGCATTGATTCACCTCAAATTTCGATATATCCACGTCTAAACTTAAAAATCCTTTCAATCTAAAACACAATTTAATTACAATTAAGCTCTTTTAATTTCGGTTAATTTTACCCGTGTCTTCCTGGTGGTGGTATTGAGACGCTATAAGACATTAACCATTTTCGCGCTGAACAAGAGTAATAAGGAAACGTCCACCATCCTCGGTACGAAATATCGGGGGGGCTTGAAATAAATTTTGGCGATCGAAGACTTGGAGTTGAATCTGCGTCCGCGTACCAAGGGTAATCCGATGAAAGTTTTTGTCCAATTTCTGGTATGCCTTCTTTAAGTTTTGTTGGACCACCCATTTCCAAACCTTGTCTTTGCCACCAAATACAATTTCGTAATTCCCTCGTTGATGAATTGATTGCCAAAACTCGTGCGGATATTATGTTTATGTCGGATACGATGAGATCTTTTGGGATGACATCTTGAAGATCTAAATAAGGACAAAAAAATAAATAAAAGAGAGAAAAAGTTTAAGCTTTTTAAACTTCAAGCTTTTATTAGTAAAGTTTTTCGCGGTAATATTGAAAACTAACTTCAGGAAGTAAAAATTTCTTTTTTGACTATTAGTTTATTTATAAAAATTTCTTTACCAATCAATTACTAAAATAATCTATAATCTGTTATATAGATAATATCTTAATTCCTATTTAAGTTTGTAAGTATGATTTCAAAAACATTTTTTTGGATGATTCTAATTAAAAGCGCCATCATTACATATCAAGAAAAAAGAATCGCATTTAATCTCGGCGTGTTATCGAATCGTTATCTCGAATAAAATACACTTGATACTCGCTTAGATTAGTTTTGCTGTTAGTATTGTGTTGTGCCAGGAACAATTAGGAATGCCATTGTATAAATATGCAATTCTTTTTTTAAATTTCTAAAGTGTGATGGAATGAATTAAGATATGGATAAAACAAAGTAAGTTTCAATTAATTTAATTCATTAATTATAACTGAGTTAAATATTCAGTTAAAAGAATAATAATTATTTATTTATTTATGTTAGCAACATTTAAATGCACCGAATTCTGTAATTTATCATCTGGATACATTAATCATTTCGATTAAGATAAACACATCCGTTTTTAAAAAAGTTCGGTTAATCAGAGCGGCAAAGATAATAAATTAGGTTTGATACATTACAATTTATCTAGATTACAAAAAACAATGAAATTCGTTTAGAACAAAGTCATAGAAAAAAACGTTGAACATGCCGAAAAGGTGGCAAAAATGATGTCACATTTATTTATATTAATATAACATTTTAAACATTTCACAAATGATATTTATTATTGTTATTATACATTTAGTTCAATAAAAATATACAACAATCTAACGCTGAATAACAATTGGAACGCATCATGATGACACAAAAAACACGTTAAAAATACTAGATTAATTTCAGTTGTTATAAAACTTCTATTATAAAATAAGTTTAAAATGTCAACCTCAATTTTGACATATTTATAATCTTCATTAAAAATCCTTTAAAATGAGTACAAACACGACATATTTATCTTCAATATTAATGAAGTTATGGTCAACTTCCGGTTAAAAACGTCAACGTCAATTTTGACATACATATTTGTAATCGTCGTGAAAAATCCTTTAAAATGAGCCCAAACATGATAGGTTTAATTTCAATATTACTCGAGATATAAGCAACTTCCGGTTTGAAATGTCAATGTCATTTTGACATATTCTTAATTTTTATAAAATGTCTTAATATTTGTCACAAAAACAAAAATATAATAAAAAAAAA